GTCTCAGAGATTTCAGCCGACGAATTGTTGGCCTACATAAAATCTTCCAAAAACATGAAGGCCCTAGGTTTCGACAACATCTTGAATGTAGTGCTGTGTCGATATCGATAATTCCGATATTATCGATAAATATCGGATCTAAATTATCGATACGATGACCGATATTCGGAATCCGATATTAACGATAGTTGAAATCCGATATCGGTTTGATGTTAATAATCATCGACATGGTTCCACCGTCGGTGATTCTAGCTTCAGTTGAAGGAGCTGATAACGAATAATTTGTTGGTGATTAACCAACGAACAAGATCTCTACCGCTAACTTGATATGAAGCTATCACGAGGGAATGGTTCAACACCAGAATAACCAAAGGACAACCAATTCAACGTGTCACTCCGTACGGAAGGAACTTTATTTATACATGAGAAAAGGTATTAAACTAATGACTAGTGCCATTTGTTGGTACTTGGAGGACAAGTAAGAAGAGTAACTTTCCATTCGGAATAATCCACTAGCGACAATCGAATTTACTCTCGTTCTGTACGTTGAATATAGTGTCAGAAGTAGTGGGCTGTATAGCGCATCATTATGCGATTATAGCGCACTAAAGGGTGTCCACGATGAAATTGCCACACACAAAATTGATTCGCAAAATTCGAGTTTTCATCCGATTGCCATCAAATTTTCAGGGATTGAGAAATAACTATTAAACTTCATTTTACCATTTTACTCGTATTTTATTTACAGTCCATACGCAAATGCCCGCACCTTGGCCTTAACCCCGGCCATAAGATTCTGCACAATCTGTGAATCAACCGTTTTTTGCATGTAAACCCATACTTTCTTCAGTTCCTCGACTGTCTTCACTACCTTAGGTCGTTTAAGAAGGTGCTGCTTCATAATCGCCCAGTACTTCTCGATGGGGCGGAGCTCCGGAGTGTTGGGAGGGTTGAACATTTTCGGCACGAAATTGACCTTATTGTCCGCATACCACTTCAGCACGTCCTTGGAGTAGTGGCATGAGGCCAAATCCGGCCAGAAGATTGTTGGGACGTTGTGGGCCTTCAGGAGAGGAAGCAACCGCTTCTGGAGGCACTCTTTTATGTACACCTGTCCGTTCATCGTGTCCTGGGTCACGAAGGGTGCACTCCGCTTCCCGCACGTGCAGATGGCTTGCCAAACCAGGAATTTCTTCGCAAATTTGGACATCTTCTGAGTGCGGACATGCTCCGGAACGCTGAACTTATCCTTGGCCGTGAAAAACAGGTTGCCAGGGATCTGTTTGAAGTCGGCCTTCACATATGTTTCGTCGTCCATGATGCAGCATTCAACTTTCGTCAGCATGTTGAGGTACAACTTCCTGGCACGGGTTTTGGCGGACTTGTTCTGCTTCTCGTCGCGATTAGGGGCCTTTTGTACCTTGAACGTTCGAAGCCCAGCCTTAGTTTTGGCCTTCTGGACAAAACTTCGGCTTAGGTGCAGCTTCTTAGCCGCATCCCAAACGGAGGCTTTCGGATTTCGGTTGAAGGCCCCAACTACGCGGTTGTGATTTTTGGTGTTGTACGGAATACTTTTTCCTTCACTTCTGGGCTTCCGATCGGTGGTCAACCGTTCCTCGAACCACTTTTCGCGATTCCCAACGTTTTAGCGATGGAACGATGCGAGAGATCCTTGTTCTCGTGATGAATGCGCAAGATTTTATCACGCACGAGCTGTTCTTTCGACTCCATTTCCGCGAGTTTTGATCACAGGACTTTAAAACTTGCAGGATGTAAATAATGCACTATGAACTAAATCCACCCAAATTTTCATTAAATTCTACCCAACGGTTAAAAAGTTAGAGCAATTTCATAGTGTGGCAATTTCATCGTGGACACCCTTTACTTTCCACTCTATGTTTAACGTACAGAACGAGAGTAAAATCGAGTGTTGCTAGTGGGTTATTTCGGTTTTCAACTGTACCGATAATACCAGGCGGCTCTGAAACTTCTGTCATGAATTGCAACCTCGGTCCCTCAGCTCCAGTGTGTGTTTTCGAATCATTTAATTTTTTGAAATATGTTTAATGTATTTTCCATTGAATATTGGATATCGGACCCGGTATCGATATTGAAAATCCGATATCGATATGTTCAGAAATCGATATCGATTTTATCGATAAATACTATCTCGTCACAGCACTACTTGAATCTAGAGCTCAAACATTTGAGTTTTAGATTCTATGATTACCTGGCACTGATTTTCAATCAGTGCCGGCTTGGCTACTTCTCCTCGTGCTGGAAGTAAGCTAAAGTCATACCCATCTGGAAACCAGGGAAGGATCCTTCCTCTCCTTCCAACTACAGACTTTTCAGCCTTCTCTCAGGGTTATCGAAGCTTCTTGAAAAAGCGATAAACCGCCGTCTTCTAACATCACCAACTGACCGGGGTAAGCAATATTCTAAGACGGAACAAGTATGTATGTAATCTGCCATGGCATTGTTGGACGTTAAAAAACCGTTCGACAATGTAATGATGAGCTTGTGTACAGACTACAACGATAGGTCTTCCAATCTTCCTTGTGAAGATCATTAAAAATTTATCTCTCAGACAAGACATTCCAAGTCTCATCCAAGTCCATCGTTTTCAATTTGTTCACCTCCGACATTCCGGCTCTCCCTGATGGTGGAACGTTATCTCTGTTCGCCAAACTCCAGAGAGGCTTGAATGTCCTGTCTGAGTATTTCAATAGTTGGAAGATCCGTATCAACGCGGCTAAAACCAAGGTCTCAATCACCTAGACTTGTTGCGTCTGAGAATAATAAGATACGCTTAAACGGCACAGTGGTGGAATGCTCCAAAGAGGTTGTGTACCTTGGACTAACCCTGACAGCAAGCTTCGCATAAACCTAACACTAAGTGCAACCTTTTTGATGAGATCATTGTATCCACTCATTAACAGGAAATCCTCCTTGTCACTGTAAAATATGTTTTCCTACCTTTTATCGAATATGGTATGCCAATCTGGGTAAGTTGTTCCAAATGCCATCACCTAAAACTGCAAAGGATCAACAAGTTCCTTGATCCTAAAAAGTCCCCCGCGTACTCGAAATTCTGAGATCGCGCTCCTGACTAAAATTCAGACATTAGAAGATCGGAGAGTATTGCATGGAAAGGTTCAGAGACACCTGTCTGAGATCAGATCAACAGATCATACGTGATCCAGCACGTTAGGTAGGTTATCAAATTGTCTTTTTCTATTCAATCCAAATATGCCCCCAAGGGGGAATAATGTACACTAGTTGAAAAACGCAAATATTAAATTAGAATAACCAATTAAACAAAAATGAAGAGCCAGATAAGCTAATCAACTGAAATGTTAATTCAGTTAAACTGATCAACAGAAATAAACGTGATTTTACTACAACGTGCAAATCAACAGTGACAATCAGCAGCAGAAAGCAGAATATGTTGTAACACCGAAAAGGCATAGAGAAATAAATCTAGCGTAACCGCCCTGGTAATTTACTGCTGCACACATCCCTGATCTGCAGCAGCGCTGGGGGAGCCCTTTCAGAACTTTTACGAGTTGATTTCCGATCGACGCTTGCCTCCTTCACCACCCTGCCGATACAGTACACTACCGAAAGGGAAAGTTCCCTCCCAGTCCGAACAGAGATTCCAAGAATTTCAAAGGAATTTACCAGGTTTATTTTAATACTTTCATAATTCTAAAGGGTATACCAACAGTTTCTAAGGAATATTTTAAAGGAATTTTAATGAAACCAAAGAATATGAAGATAAATGTGAATTTCCTGAGTATTCTGGAGGACATTCCTAAAATGTTCTGCACAGAATGCACATAGTTTCGAATCTGTTATGGAGAAACTTTGCAGGAAATACCGGAGCAAATCAAGGGGAATCCTGAAAATAATACTCACGCTAAAGGTCACGATTCAAATCTTATCCCCGGACAAGTCGCGAATGACCTAACATATATTAAACTGATTAGAATACACACAAATCTTAGAAAACATTTTGAAATTATCCTAAGGAAATCTTTAATAAATTTCCAAAGGTGCCCTGAGATAAGTTCAAAAAAAATTAGCTAATTCAGGCATTGAATATTTTAAAAGATCCCGTACACATAAATTCAAGTCCATAATCCAGGATTTTTTTCAGGATTCTGAGATTTTGATTGGTAAAAATTTAAAGATACTGTGACATGAAAAAATAAACAAACAAACAAAAATCAGCATTGAAGATAGCAAATATTAACAAAAATCACGTGTCCGGTGCTTAGGAATGTTAAGCATTTCCACTAGAATTATTTAAGGAAATCTTGGACTTGCCAAATTTTCGAAACTCTGGGACACTACCATATATTTTACATATCAGACTTAATGTTTGGTATTTCATACTAAGGAAATGTTCAGAATTCCGAGTTTGAGGAAATATTCTAGATATCAGAGATAGAATTTTTGATATAAAAGAATTTAATTTAAATTGGTATTGAATTAAAAGTACATATTTCGCAGTTTTTCCCGGATGAATTCAATTTCCGGATCAGTGGTTACGCTATAATTTTATAAAAAAATGAAGATAATGGAGTTGAAAAAAATTAGTTCAATTTTGTGATTCCATCAACACCAATTACACAGTTCTGGTCTGTTCGTAGCTATTCTTATCAGACTTCACACGCTTATTGGTCGTAAAAAAGTGACTTTATTGACTAAAATTGAAGAAATAGTGACTTTTGGGTGCAAAAAGCGAATTTTTAGTGACTAATTTGAAAATAGTGACCTAGCCACTAAAAAGTGACAAGAGATGAACTAGCCTCAGGCTAAAAATCTCTAAAATAAAGAAAAAAAAAAAAAAAAAACTAAAAAGTGACCTGCTAAGCACGTTAAATTTCTAATTATAAAGTGAAAGTTTCCCGGTCTTCCGGGGGGAAGATCAAATATGTTCAGTAAAAAGTTAACTTCCCAAGAACTGTTAGATAATGATCGGTGATACTTACGAGTAGCGAACAGAGTTGTGTGCGTCCCTTCTGGGCGGCTTCGTGCAGCGGAGTGTAGCCCCATTTATCGGTGGCGTTGACCACAGTGTTGTGCTTAATCAGTAGAGCGGCGATATCCAGATGCCCGTAGGACGATGCATTGTGCAGGGGAATCAGTCCTCCCTTATCCTGTGCGTTCACGTCGGCGCCATGTTCCAGTAGATACTCTGCCACTTCCAAATTGTTGTAGCCAGCTTCAAGGAAAAAATTCGAATTAGTTACTTTTTTCAACGACCAAACACCGTTTGCCACCTACCAGCTAAATGCAGAGGAGTTGAGTTCCTACCCTGAGCGTCCCGGCAGTTGATGTTGTCCGGTTGGACAAGCCGCTGAACCCGTGCCAGGTTACCTTTCTTGGCGGCATCCAACAAAGCCGCATTTCCACGAAGTAAGTCCGCCACATCTTGATCACCTTCCCGTACCAAATCCAACGGAGTTGCACCGTCGCGGTTTTTCTTCGTTACGTCTGCTCCGTGCTAGGAAAAAAAAAAACAACAACAACGTTCATGTCTGACCTAGGAAAACCCCCAAACAAGCCCTACCTTTATAAGCAGCTTTACAATCTCGTACTTTCCCTTGGCAGCAGCTTCGTGAAGCGGCGTAAACTTCCACAAGTCGGCAACATTCACATTGGCCCCGTGTTTCACCAGTAGCTCGGTCACCTCGTAGTGTCCGTATGAGCAGGCATTGTGCAGCGGTACTAGTCCTCCTTTATCCGAGGCGTGCACCTCGGCTCCATGCTCCAGCAAGAACTCAACCACCGGAACGCGGTTGTATCCGGCAGCAAAATGCAACGGTGTCGAATGACGCCCGTCCAGATCACGGCAGTTAACAGTCATCGGATTGGACATGACAATCCGTCGAACCGTATCCAAATCACCTGCCTTAGCTGCCTCCAGCAGTTGACACTCCAGGTCCACCGTATCCGATGGTGGGTCCTGTAGGATTTTCAGTACGTTCTCAGTCGCCAACTGAGCAGCCGTGTATCCTTGAAGCGAAACGATACTAATGTCAATATTGTACGACATCAACAGCCGACAAGCTTGGATGTTATCCTCTCGAGCACACCGATGCAGTGCCGTTTGTCCGAGCCCATCCAGTGCATCTACTTTGGCACCGTGACGCAGCAGCACATCCATTATCTCATAGTGGGAATTATCCGCGGCAATGTGCAACGGCGTAAGAAAGTCTTTGTTCTTCTCGTTTAGTAGAGCACCTTTGCGGATCAGAACTTCCAGCACTTGCTTTCGCTTCGGGTAGACGGATTGAGCTACGGCGTGGAGGGGAGTGTCTCCGCTGTACGGATGGATAAAATTCACAGTCTCAGTGGTGAGGTTCTTTTTCAGTCGCTGAATATCCGCCTGACGGCAGGCGTCCAGTACGCAATGACCCTTGTATTCGTCTGAAAGGCAAGAAAAGAAAACCGTCACATTTACAAGAAACAACAATTTATTAACGACAACAACTCACATGTAATCTTATCCTGCAGTTCGCGCGTCGGTGCCGAATCGATGGCCGACTTGTTATGGCAGTTGAGTAGCGTCGGATCGGCTCCCTCGGCCAGCAGCAGACTGCACACCTCCACCCGACTCTTGGAAGCGGCCTCGTGCAGCGGCGTAAAGGCCCAGAGATCATTGGCGTTCACGTTGCCACCGTGCTTGATGAGCAGTTCGGTCACCTCGAAGTGACCGTAGGAACATGCATTGTGCAGTGGCACCAGACCACCCTTGTCCTTGGCGTGCACATCGGCACCATGCTGCAGCAGTATTTGCACCACCCGAATCCGGTTGTAGCCGGCGGCCAAGTGTAGAGGAGTAGACTTGCGGCCATCGCTGGCATGACAGTTCACATTCAATGGAGTCAACAGTTCCAGCAAGCGTTCCTCCGAACCCGAACGAGCCGCTTCCAGCAGTTCATCTTTCCGATACTCACCCGTGAGAACCGGTCGCGTGCAAGGATCTGCCAGATCCAAGGGGATCTTATTTTCCGAGTTCCTTATGTTCGGATCAGCGCCATGCTGCAGCAGAGCAATGCAAACGTCCACCTTTCCCTTGCTGGCGGCCTCGTGCAGAGGGGTGTAGTTCCAGTTATCCCGGGTGTTCGGATTGGCTCCGGCTTCCAAGAGCAAGCGAACAACATCGGCATGTCCGAACGAGCACGCGTTGTGCAACGGATGAAGTCCTCCATCATCACGGGCCTGGATCGATGCACCGTTGGTTAGCAGGAATTCCACCACATCTCGACGACCGTAACCTACGCAATGGGAAAAAAGAGAAACACAACGTAATTTTAGTATGTTTTTGCCAATTTGGTCATTCACCTAACAGTTGTTGGTATAGTCCGGATCGGGTCGGAAGATGATTGCCTTTGCTGCTATATGGGTAATGATATAATCAGCGGGTTTGGGTTAGCTGGAGCGTCTACATTTGAGGCGAGTCTAATTTATGATGAGCCCAAGTTTATTTTTTAACTAGATGCTTGACGAACCGTTGCGAAGAAGTCTTGCGCCTTTTGATCATGATGTCGATTGCCAATTAATGTTTTTCCAATGAGATGAATTGATTTGCCGAAATGCAGTTAGGGTAAACGCTCCTATAGTTGTTGGTTTTCTATACAAAAATGGTTTGACATGCATTTTTGATCGTTTACTTATTCTCGTATAACATGATTTAACAGGTTTCAATCGGCAAGTTAGTTTAAATTGCATAATAATAAACAGGTTACCTTAACATTTAATTGACTTTGAACCTATAGTTGTGGGTTCAATAAGTTTTGTGTCTGTGACTAAAATCTAGAGTTCATTTTACTCTTTTTACCAGGGATGCCAGGTGAATTTAGAAAAAATCTTCATCAAGATGAAATGTAAATGCGTTTAAGAAACTTTCTAGAAGTGCAGCAAATTTTGTAGATGTTCACGCTAACTTTGAAGAAGATCAACTAAATTCAAAAAAATTCAGTGATCTTCGTAGAAGTGCAAGGATTTTTTAGAACTTCCGCGAAATTTATGGAAGTTTAGTGAATTATGTAGAATTTCATTAAACTTTGTAGATATTTAGCAAACTTTAGAAAAAAAATTAATGGCAACGAATTTGAAGTTTTTTATAACTTCAAGGAACTTTGTTTATTTTCGTTGACCTCTTAGAAGCTACTTAGAATTTAGAAAACTTCATAACAAATCTGGGAACTTCGTAGATCTTTAGAGAACTTCGTAGATATTCAGATAACTTCGTAGAACTGAAAACTTTGAACGAGATTGGGGAACTTGGTAGAAGCTAAGAGATTAATTTCAAGGCAGTTCGTTGACATTTAATGACCTTGAATAGTGCTGGGAATTCCGTACACGTTCCCTACTTGTGGAACTCATGGAAAATCATTGAGGAACGTATAAGTGCAGCGCATATCATTAAAAATGCTTAAAACTATGTTGGTGTTAAGTAAATTACGTTGAAATTTGAGGAACTGCGTAAAACTTCATAGAAGTGCAGGGAATTTTGAAAAAAGATCGTGGACGATCAGAAAAAAAAAATCGTAAAATTTCAGCAAACTTCTTAGAGCTTCAGGGATCTTCATGGCAATTTGTCCGAGGCCTTTCTTCTGAAAAAACTGAATGAGCTTCGTTTATATCAGGGAACTAATATCAGAGCCTGGCAAATGACTGGGATAATGCGTACCATCGGTACTTCGCGTACTTGAAGGTTATAAAATAGACCTGTCATGCAAGTGAAAGTGGTCCTTAGCCTCTTGCCCAGTAACTCCTATCCCTTCCTCCCCGCGGCGCCGGCTGGAGTACGAGTAACCTTAGTGAAGATCGGGTACCCAACCCCGGTGGGAACTTTGGTCGTATGCTGACAGGGAAGGGGGAGCTGCATCCTTTTTGGAGGATGTGGCTTACAAAACCCGAGCGTCTGTTCTCCATGTTAGGGGCGGCTCAAACAGCGTCTGACTGGCATCCAGCGGCTGAATTCGAAATGCTTCTCCCCGAAAGCTATACCCAAGATGGCAGTTCCATCACGGCGGATAAGGAGACCTTAGGCCAACCACCTACACTCTCCGAAACCTTCAAATTGTTACAGAAACCTATTACGAACTGATTTTATTGGAACGACTTTTAGCGCTAAACAACGGACAACAATTGGAACATGGAATGTTCCAACGCTAACCCAACAGGGTAAACTGGCACAACTCACCACCGTATGAAGCTAGAAATCCTGGGACTTAGTGAGGTCCGCTGGCCGAATTTTGGAGAACACAAGCTGCCTTCGGGACAGGTACTTTTATATTCTGGTATGCGAGGTGAAAACGCTCCGCGACATGCACAGGCTGCGCTCATCAAGTGGGAACTTATCAATGAGAGAATAATCGTTGCCAGATTCAGAACACGAGTCCGAAACCTTACCATAATCCAACGTTATGCGTCAACCGATGCTGCCGAATCGCAGGACAAAGCTAACTTTTACAGTCAACTGAATGCTGTCGTGGATAAGACTCCAAGAGGTGATATCAAGATCTACACAGGCGAATTCAATGCGAAGATCGGCTCCGACAACTCGGACTATGAGCGCTTTATGGGACGCCATGGTCTCGGAGATATGAGCGAGAACGGCGAGCTGCTTGCAGAGTTTTGTGGCACCGACGACATGGTCATCGGGGGTTCGCTCTTCCCTCATCGCCCAGTGCATAAAGTCACATGGGTCTCCCGTGATGGATATACAGAGAATCAAATCGACCACATCTGCATTAGCCGAAAATGGAGACGGAGCCTTCTTGATGTTCGGAATAAACGCAGCGCTGACATCGCGTCTGACCATCATCTCCTGGTCGGTGAGATCCGCCTATGCATTGCGCGGGTTCAACGGCGGGAGGAGAGACTCGGGCGGCGATTCAACACACGCCGACTGGAAGACCCAGCAATCAAGAGATCGTTAATCGAAGAACTCGAGGCTCGCGCAGCTAATATTCCGGAAGGTGGCAGCGTAGAAGAACATTGGACGAGCATCAAAAATGCCTTTATTGAAACAAGCGAGAACAACCTGGGTGAACTGCGCACTCAGAGGAAGGAGTGGATCACCGATGAATCCTGGAGGAAGATATATATATATATATATATATCCGGCTATAGAGCGAGCAAGGACTCGAGGAGCCAAGAACGAGGCCCGTCAGTGGTATTCGGCTCTAGAGAAAGAAGTTAAGCGCTCCTGTATACGGGACAAGCAAGCGTGGGTGGACTCCCTGGCTGATGAAGGGGAGAAAGCCGCAGCAACTGGCGATATCCGCCTCCTCTATGGTGTTTCACGACGCCTGAGCGGGGTAAGGATGAACCCAAGTATGCCTGTGAAAGACGCGACTGGACAGTTGCTCACCGACCCCACTGACCAGTTTAAACGTTGGTTTGAGCACTTTGAACAACTTCTCGAAGTTTCAACGGTCAACCATTAACATCTCGGCATGATCCGCCAAGGGTGAGGCGCGTTACTTGCGTCAACAGTGAAGCTCCATCATTGCAGGAGATAGAAGCAGCCATCCGAAGTCCTACAAAGCCCCGGGGGTCGATCGCATATCAGCAGAGAGGCTCAAAGCTGACCCCATGCTATCCTCACAAATGTTGCATCAACTACTCGTAAATATCTAGGACACCGCGACTTTTCCGGCCAACTTGGTAAAAGTCCCCAAGAAGGGAGATCCAACTGTATGCAACAACTGGCGAGGAGAAGATCGACGCGACTCTCTGACGACAGCAGGCAGGATTCCGTGCTGGAAGATCCTGTGTGGACCATATTGTCACGCACCGCATCATCTTGGAGCAGGTCAATGAGTTTCAAGAGTCCCTGTATTTGGTATTCATTGACTACGAAAAAGCTTTCGACCGACTAAACCACGAAAACTTGTGGGGCGCTCTGAGACGCAAGGAAGTCCCTGATAAGATCGTCAACCTCATCGAAGCGCAGTACGAGGCTTTCTCATGCAGAGTGTTGCAAAACGGAACTTTGTCTGACCCGATTCGGGTAATCGTGGGTGTGAGGCAAAGATGTATATTATCACCGCTACTGTTCCTCATCGTTATCGACGAGATCATGGTTGGAGCCGTTGACCGTGAACCAAACCGTGGGTTGCTGTAGAAGCCTATTATCATGGAGCATCTCAACGACTTCAATTTGGCTGATTTGGATTTGGTTGCGTTATTAGCACAACGGCGCTCTGACATGCAGAGTAAGCTCGACGACCTTGTGGAACGCTCCTCTGAAGCAGGTCTAACCATCAACGTCAACAAGACCAAATCGTTGGATGTCAACCGTTCCAATTTCACGGTAGCTGGGATAGGCAGTGGAGAAAGTCGAAAGCTTCCAATATCTTGGCAGCCAGATAGCGTCGGACGGCGGCACCAAGAGCGACATAGGTGCACGGATTAAAAAGGCTGCTTTTGCCAGTTTGTGAAATGTATGGAGAGCGAATCAGATCAGTCGACGCACCAAAATCCTAATTTTTAACTCGAACGTGAAGCCTGTGCTGTTATACACCAGTGAAACATTGTGTGTATCAGCGGAGAACACTCAGAAGCTGCAGGTTTTTATCAACCGATGCCTGCGGTACATAATTCATGCCTGGTGGCCCCACAATTGGATCTCAAATTCCTAGCTTCATCGTTTGTGCCATCAGAAGCCGATAGAAACAGAAATTCGTGAACGGAAGTGGAGGTGGGTCAGCCACACACTGTGACGGAGCGGAAACGAAATCTGCAAGAAAGCACTGGACTGGAATCCAGCAGGACATCGCAGCAGAGGCAGACCCACAGACTCGTGGTGGCGGAGCCTAAACAGTGAAATTAAGAACGTAGACCGAAATTTAACTTGGGCACAAGGTCAAGGCCAAAGCTGGTAATCGCCCAGGATGGAAATTTTTCCCAAAGGCCCTTTATACCATTGTAGGTGCGCAGGAACGTTAAGTGAAGTAAGTAACTCATATCAGATGTTAAAGAATATTCGTAGAAAGGGTAGAAGTTATATGGTATTCTCTCAGATATTTTCTTTAGAAGGAGACAAGAAGTATTCAAAAGATGTTCAGACAGACGAAGATTTTGGTTAAATCCCCTGGATATTGTTTTCAGGTTGAGTATTACTCTTAAGATCTCCAACTGTTCAAAAATATAAATTACGCCCCTCAGATATTATTCAGATATTCGGCTGATTAATCAGGAAGCATTCACAAGATATCCAACGAATCGCAGATTTTAGGTAAGTGTTGTAGATAACATTTAA